ATAACGCCCCCACGGCTGAAAGAGCGAGCATGTGACGGGGATTCGAACCCGCGACCCTCAGATTGCGAGTCGAGCGCCTTAACCACCTGGCCATGCCGGACCCCCTACCAAAGATACAGACTCTCCCTCTCATATTTCTTTTGCTCTTAACTTTACTTGCTACTTCAATGAATACAAAGAGGCACTAGGCTTCTCTGATAGTTAGAATCGTTTTTATTAATTCCTTTTACTTCTTTGTCCTATTTTTTATTTTTGTCATAATCTTAAGCTTTTTTTATATTTGTTCATCCCACCCCAAAATTATTTGGGCCTGTTTATTTTATCTATTTTTCCATAGACATACCAACGTTCAGGATTAATGTACGTTAAAAACAAAACAAATAGTAACCTTGTTAAAAGTAATTTTATGATTTTAAAAAATGTCTTTTTATTCATTTACTAGCGATTATTTTTAGGTTATTAGAATCAGTAACTGTCATGATTAATTTAGTACTTATCCCGGCTCCACCCGCCTGTAACTCTTCTTGTGTGAGTTTGTTTATTTTACCCTTGTGAATTTTTCACAAACGCACTGAAGAAGACTTTTCAAAGAAATTGCATTTTCGAAGCTGGCGAGCCGGGTTTGAATCCGTACGATACCACAAAATCTTCTCCGCACTTTCAGCTGTAGGTGCGGTTTAAGAGTGCCAGTCAACCCCTTAGCGAAGATGATGAGTGGTAGATGATTGGAGACCTTCCCTCCGATCAGTAGTTCAAAATTTGTGACAGCAGCAGATTTTTTATAAAAACAAAATGTAAATACTCGGTCTGAAGTTAAAGTGCTGAACATTCTGGGAAGGATCATTGTTAAATAAACACTATTGCATTAATTCTACAGCTGAAAAATAACGTCTGCAGAATCTTGCTTTGATCTGTATTGAATAAACATCTTAAAATATTACAGAAAGACATGTCAGAAAAAATACAGAAAACCAAACATAAGTAATGAAATGAACTTATCTCAGCTACAGAGTATGCCAACAACTTTATCAATTATCTTTAGTTTATTTTTCCAAATTATTTTAAGATATTCCGGTATAAATGTCAGACAAATAACAGACAAACCTATATAAAATTATAACAAAAATCGTAAAATAAAGTATAATTAATATGTCATGAAAAATTCAATACATCAGCAAAATAGTCCATCTGACCGTATTTAACTGTGGTTGGGGTGGAGCTTATATTTGTTTCTGTGTAGAAACAACAGACATTTTTCATCGCCATGGTTCAAACATTGTATGAACAAGTTAGAACTACTACTTACAAGTTGCAAATTAGGTAGGAGGAGAAGAGGCAGAAAACTAAACTTTAAGGAGTTTATTACTTGTTTGGGATCATGATCGATCATAATAAGGGATGATTTATTTCCTACATAATTTATATGTAAAGACAAATCTTCAGCAAACCAGGAAGTCAAATAAATGTAGAGTGTTACAAACTGATAATAATCTGGAAATATGGACAAGTAGAATGACTTAGACATGCATAAAAGTTTCATATTTAACTGCCCCTTCTATTTTGGATCACATCTATCGATATGCATACTTATTGATTTGTTAGTTAATTACGTTTTTCAATGAATATATTCAACTAATATCCATCTTTCTTACCCCCAAAATCCGAAAACTTGCCACTCCTCCGCTGGAAGGCCCTCCTTAAGGCTGCTCGATGGGGAGAATCCGTCAGATAAAAGAGCAGCGGGACCAGTAAACCTTCAGCTAGTCTGAGCCACAGAATCACATTCTCGTGCCATTTAGACCAAAAAGACGGCAATGCTATACCAAGAACGTTGAGGGCCTAAAAAAGGTGCAAAGAAGCTGATTAAATAAAGAATTGGTCAAGCAAAATTAAATAAATCAAAATGATCAATCATAGTTTTCGTTGTTTTTTTGTCAGGCGATTATGATATTTTGAGACATGACTTTTTTTTATGTAGTGAATTTTTTTCTCCAAAAATTACATTTTGGTTTGAAAATAAAAAAAATACGTATATATCGTGTAAAATCAGAAAATATATTTAATACTTCTGACTAGATACAAGAAAATTTTTTTTTAAATTACACAGTCCTTAAAAATCTTTTTATGTTCAGAGTAAGCTGGTTATTTAAAAAAACAAGTGTTCAGCTAAAAGTGAAAAATTAAAAACATGAAGCTGGTATACGTTAGTTTATTTTTTAATTACTACCTAATTAATTAAAAACTAAATATACATATTGTGGTTTTAAAATTTACTGTTAATAAATATCGCTTATCGTCACCAAATTTGAAGCCGCTTCCTAAGAATGTGATAAAAATGTTTTGTTTGTTTGTTTCTAAGCGCAAAACTCCAGAATAGGCTATCTGTACTATTTTAACAGCAGGGATCGAACAAAAAGTTCTAGTGTTATAAGCCCTCGAACATATCGCTGAGCCACCGGGAGGACAAAAGAAAGTTAAGGATAGACCAATAGAAATCCTAAAATCAAGCTCAAACAAATGATTAGAGAATGTTTTTGTTCTTTTAATTAATAATCGGTTTTTGTTATATCAATATAGATATGAAAATTTTTGATTTCTGGATTACGCTAGTAATATTCGCTAAAAGCGAAGTGACTATTTATGTGAAAAAACAAACAAAAGAAAAACGGGACACGTTGTTTATCCTGAGAACCTGCCAAATCTACTTCCACGAACGCTTTTTGTTTATTTCAAGTTAAGAACAAAGCTACACAATGAGCTATCTGTGCGCTGCCCACCAAGAGTATCGAAACCCGGTTTCTAGCTTCGTAAGTCTGTAGACATAGCGCTGTGCCACTTGAGCGCAGCCCCCACGAACGCGTATTTGTGTGAATTACAACAAAAATAGCTTACTGTTTTGCTAAACTTTACAACAGTGTAAATTCAACAAAGAAAGAGTTATATAGCAGTACTTTAAAACTGAGAATAATTTCGGATGCAAACGCTGTGAATATCTTTTAGAGTACAAACTACGAATATTTTACTGGTCATATATGAAAAAATATGACAATTAGGCGTACCAAATGAATCGAATTTCCGGGACACACCAATGAGAAATGATATTGTCTCGTCAAAGACGAAACAAATGGTTACCTTGCTAAAAATAATGTTATAATATTCAAAAATGTTGAGTCATTTTAAGTTATTAGAAGGAATACAGTGTGTGTGTGAAATAAACTGTTCGAAAACACAAACACGAGTGAATAGCAAAGATTCACAATCCTAGGAAAATACTTTCTATTTGTACACGAGTTGAATTACTCACAAAAGCCTATACTTCTAATATTGGAAGTTTTTTAATAAGATGATGACCGTTTGTCCTACTTTTCATATACTGTGACAAACACTACCTGGCTGTATACTTTGAACGTGCAATAAAATTTGTTTCTTTAAATAATTATGGATTTGTTTTTATCTGGCGTTCATTATCGTACTTGGCATGCTTGACTCCATTGTTCATACGAAGAGCATGCTTGTAATCTCGAGGAATTACAGGAAGCTACTGTACAAGAAGAGCTTGTGTGAGTTGAAAGTAACCCTCTGTTTAACCGCCAGGTGGGGTTCACGGACGTGGTGAACGTCCTTGTGTCAGTAGGTGGTGTAGTGCAGCTACCCGGAGCAAACACCTCTTCAAAAATACCTTGCTTAAAAGTATTACCACCATCTTGTATCACCTACCATACCAACCCCAACATAGGTCTACCACGTGATTAAAGGAAACCCTCCTTTCGCTTATCTCTCTTCCTTTTCGCAAATAAATATTTTTAGACTTAAAGTGGAAAATCTGATATAATATCATACACCAAAATTATATTTATATTTTGAAAGATGTTGCCCTAAACAATAAATATTTACAACTATGTATAACACACCATTTGGTAAAACAATGCCAAGAAGCCGCATGTGGGTGTATGTACATTCTGTATTGAAATGTTCAATCACACTGTGCACCAGTATAATGAGATCGTTACTCTTTTCACCAGAAACTTACCTTGAATGATACAAGAGATGGTGAACTTTTATTACACACACAGTGGTAAAGCTGAACTAAAGGTGATAATACTTTTCACTTAATACATTTCTATAGTTATTAAAACTGATTACAGATTAACAATCAACTGATCGTTACAGAAACAATGAGAGATGAAATTGCCCTTTGAGATATATCATTAGGCATTGGTGGTCTGTAAATTATAAACTGCACTGTTAGCCGTTAACTTTGTATGCAGTGGAAATTAACATTTTGATAAAGCTGCAAATAAAGTTTTTCTTTTGTGAACCACGATCACAATTGTAGAAACTGTTATACGGGAAATAGAATGGTATCACAAACTCTTACATACTGTGGAGAAAGTTAAGAAAATTTTTAAAAAGTTATCATGCACTGTCTTATGCTACAAAAGAAGAAAAAAAGGGGGTATACACACCCTAACACTTCCCTAGAAAAATAGTAGTATGTGCTGTATAGCTGAGATAACGATAACCATAGCAGTGAGTGCCTTCTTTCGTGTAGTTTTTATATATTTAACCTCAAGCAACATAGATAATAACATAGGAACCAACCGTGAGGAATGAATACACTGAAGTAGCTAAGCTAGTTGTTAGTCCTACACCTGAGAACAGAACTAAGAACACTTTCGTAAAGACGGTCGAAATCAACTGAATAACTTAAACCAATTAATTGTAACCACGTCGACTGTGCCCTATTAATTTTAAAAATATAATTTTTTTTATTTTATTAATAGTAACCAGGAAGATTATGGCTGTTAACTGTAGTAATGAATATTGTAATTTATTGATTGTAACTATGTAGATTATATTTTGATAATAGCAACTTCCTATTTTATTCATTATGATATTGTACATTGAAACATAATGCATTCAATAATGTACATTGTTGATCATTAATTGTAGCGATATAGATGTAAGCGTTTAGTGATTGTAAACACGTAGATTGTGTTTTTATATTTGTAAAGACCAGTACTATTAATTATAACAGTGTAAATTGTAATATAATGTTTTTCATGACGTAGTTAGTTTACTATTAATTGGGGCGATATAGATGTTTTTATCGATTGTAAACAAGTAGATTGTGATTCACACTTTATAAGAAACAAGGACTAGATCACTATCCAACTATCTTGGTCGAATTTTGAGGGGGAAAATATTCACTTCATTATTACTTGTATTACTAATTATGTTATGACTTTACTAAATCGTACTACCTAAAACAGAATAAAAAAATTATATTGCATGATATTCAAAAAATTGCTGTTAAAAAATAAGAGAAAGCGTTAATGAATTGTAGCATTTTCAACGGCCAAAGTTAAGACGTATCTAGACCTAATTTAGATGTACGAGGAAACTAGTCTGATAATCAAAAATCTACAAGACTTCTCTCAACCAAACAATGGGGTTGATTGACACAGTTATAGTAGCCCCATAAGTGAAAGTGTGGAGTGTGTTCAGGAGTATATCGTGGTTCTTTCAATCTGACATGCTAACCACTAGGTCACTACTAGCTCGTTAAGTTGTATTGCATATTCTCAAGTCGGAATTCAAGCTTAATGTTTTAAAAAAATGGACTGTGGAACTAAAAGAACCACAAAGCCTGTGAGCATTTCTTCAGAGAAAGCCGTGTAAAACCGACAAAATTTCTAATTACTTACTTGAAACAGCAACAAAATTTTTGAAATCATAAGAGTATGGATGAGATATTATCGCAATAGTTACTATACATAACATTGTAGTACTTAATTAAAGATTACAAATAAACATTTACCTTTAAATATTTATATCAATTAAAGAATATACATTCCTTTTATGAGAAGCAATGATAATAAAGACAAAAATTAGGAAAAGTAAGCATTTTGAAGAAACGTACACGGAAAACATACAACTTAATTTGGTTGTTTTGTTTCTTTAATCACGAGAGAAAGTCTTATAGCTTAGGATAAAAGGTTTTGAATTCTAAAACTTTAAATACCGGTGTTTTAACATGTTTCTTGAGAAACCGCAATGATCTATTAATAACTGATAAACATACCTTCATCAAAGTTTTAAATTATTTTAGTAACCTAATGATCAAAGTAACTAACACGGTTTTTATTTCTTTGTTTAGTGTGCAAGTTACACAAAGGCTATCTTCCCATACAGTCGTCCCTAATTCTTAATTGATAGACAAGTAAGACTTGACCATCAATCTTATAGTCACAGTCCCAATGTAAGAAGCGTGATTTTTTTAACAACAGGATGCAAACATGGAACCATCAGATTCAGAGTCCGGGTTCGCTAACTACTAGGCTACACCCAGCACATGTTTATTACTTCCTCAGAAAAATGATAGGAAAGAGAAAGTATAACAAACTATTGTTGTGTGTTCTTCATTACTAAAATTTTAGAGACAAGTGAATTATCTCTAATACGAAAATAACGTTAATGTACAAAATAAATAAAATACATCAAGCATGTTCTGGTTATTTGTCTTGTTGGATGAGGGAATGAACATAGTACAGGATGATTACAGTGCTTTAGGCTAAAGTTAAGTTTTCTTGATACTATTGGTTAGTTTTTTTTCTATATGGATATATTTCTGGATCTAGTGCTGATGATTATTATCCTTGAATGCATCTTTTAAAATCTGGTAATTCTTAGAAGTGTGGGGGATATTGTCACGATAGGGGGGAGGTGGAAGAGGGGGTAGCGAATGCCCACATAACTGGTTTAGTCGGTTGTTCACATCAGCAAGCTGTTTTTAGGTCAACAAAAACCAGGGTTGGCCAAGATATATTACTTAGAAG